TAAATTTTTATATGTTTTACGATAGAGGCATAATATTTTATTATTATTTATTTAAATTTTATATATAATAATTATATTTATTTTATTAAATTTTATAAGTAATTCACGTGGAATATTCATGAAGTAAACTACTGCTACTGTTGAATTGTCAGTTGCTTGTGCACGGGCAATTACTGCAACTATGACTGGAGCAAGGCGCATTAAAGTTCGCCATTGCAGTGTTTATTTAAGGTGCAACGGGGTGGTCAAATCCTTTGATCGGGATTTGATGTCTATCCAGATCATTAATCAAACCATCAGATTGGATGTGATCAGACTTTGAAAATCCAAAAACGTATGGAGACGAAGACTCAGTTGATCTCTTTCCCTCATCCGTTCCTAGAGAATCCTTGATTACCCACCCATCTGACCTTTTAAATTCATTAGAGCTTGGACCAAATAAACAAATTGTATGTTTCATTTTTGTGACGAACGCAAACATATTTTTCTCTTTAGGGATTTAGAGATTGTAGACTTGGATCTCATTGTGAGTTATTTTTCTCCCACTATTTGTAGATCAGACGAATTACTTGGAAAATGTTCTAAATTAAAAGCCCATGGATATCAAATTAAATACAATCTAAATAAAATTATGGGATCTTGATGTCCAATTACACATTGAAAAATAAAATTTTGGGATCTTGATATGTTCAATTATGCATTGAATACAATCCAAAGAAAATTGTGGAATTTAACATGTTCATTCTCCAAATACATATTGATCAAAAAAATCAACTGCTAGGCTTGCCATATAATTGGTCTAGACTGACATAACATTCTCGTTGATTTGTGAGTTCCTTGCAACCATAAAATTTTTTTTTTTTTTTTTAAAAGTGAGGGGCAGTTAACTGTGGTAATTTCACACTTTGTGCATGGTTCATTAGTTCCCTTAGCTTGCAATACTTGGTGAGTAAAAATCATAGTTATTAAACCCAACCCGGGAAGGAACCCGGCGAAGGAGGTGGGTCAACGGGTTACTGGTTGAATCGGTGGGTGAGTGGTTGAACCGGTGGGTCACTACATATATTTAAATATTATATTTCATAATTATTTATATAAGATATATGATATAAATTGTAATAAATAATACCATAACAAAAGCTCATTTAATTTAATTTGTTATAAAATAATTAATTCATATAAGAATCAATCAAATATAAAGTTATTTATTAATATACCAAACTTCAAGTGTAAAATTTTATCTATATTTAGTGTAATTATCTAGCTTATTTATGAATTTTAAGTGTAAAAAATTATTAAAAATAATATTTGTCTTTAAATGAATTATTTAATATGTTATTTTTGGAATCCATTTTATAACTTATAGAGTTTGGAGGGTAATAAATTTTTATTAAAAGATTCTAAATAAATTTGTTTTAGAGAAAAAAAGATAGAATTGAAAAAATTTATATATCATAATAAAGCTACTATATCAACATATTTGGAAGTAGTTTGGTGGTAAGCAGGCGGTAGTGTTGGGACAGAGGTCTGAAGTTCGAGTTCCAACAATAGCAATATAATTTTTCCACAAAACCGGCCAAAACTGGCCGGGTTTCCGGTTTAACCCGGTTCGACCGCCGGGTCATTGACTAAGTCAACGGTCTCTTTGCACAAATGATCTGATTTCAAACCCGGCCCGGTCCAATGACCGGTCCACCGGTTTGACCGGTTCGACCGCCGAGGCGGGCCGGGTTTAAAAACTATGGTAAAAATGCTCACTAATTTGAAAATTCGCCATATTCGATCCGATTCATTCCGAAAATTATTATTTGACCAGGTCAAAAGAGGGTCGAGGGTCGAGTATCCAATTAGATGCAGAGACGATTAGAATTACATAATTAAAAATCCACTAGTACCTGACCCACTCCGAATATTTTTTTTATTTTTTTTACACATACTACAAAATAATATTTTTAGAGCTAAATAAGTAATTTTATTGAACAAAAGGCATTATAAATATGGGAAAATATAGTTTGTTTACAGGATTTATTTGTAGAGGTCATGATTTTATGTTTTTAGAAAAGAGTTAAATTAATGTGGAATATATTTAATAAAAGGTACTATTTAATTCAAATTTTCATTGATTTTGAATTTTTTGAATTTTTTTTTTTTATTGTATACTCTTTGCAAGTGTGTTTCATGGTGGGAGATTTTTTTAGAAAAATCTTTATTGAATTTTAGATGAATATGTAATATGCAAAATTAAATTATTATAAATTATTTTTTAAAAAATTAAATGATAAATGGGGCAGGAAGAGTATCCGTTGACTCGACATTATCTCAGCGGGTATCCAGTTATCGGTATGAGTAAAAATCAAAAAATGGTATCCACTCCACGCCTACCCCTAACTATTCGACAATTCGCACCCTTTTTCCTCTGTAAACAGCAATTATAGAGCCTATGCAGCATCTGAAACAGAGAAGTAGGCAAGATCTTCAGGACAAGGACATAGCATTATTGAGATTTGAGAGAAGATCGAACACAGGGTAAGAATGATTTTCAGATCAATCATCTCTCTGAGTGATATAACATTTTTTGAACGTTTTATAACGTTAAATAAATTATTTGTACATCTTTACGATAAATATGTGATATTTTATTACTGATCATTTGAGTCTCATATATAATAATTGCATCTATATTATAAAATTTTATAAGTAATCCACGTAGAGCTGCTCCTATATCAACAAATATTACACCGTTGCAGACAATTGTCACCGACAACCGTCCATTTTCTTAGTCCAGACCTCTTAATATTCAATATCAATCCTTTTCTCGATTGTCTCAAAATTTCGTCTAGTGTTTAATAATGGTATCCAAACAAACAAATGCTCCGTTTGGATTAACTATTTTTTGGGGTGTTTTTCAAAAAATTTATTGTTCATTTTTTGGAAAACAGTAAATGTTGTTTGGATTGCTGTCATTCACAAACAGATTGTTTTTGAAAAACAAACGTGTTTGGATTCACTGTTTTTGAAAAACAGTAGTTAAATTTTTTAACAATAAATATCCTTCCTAAAATACTTAATGACGTTTGTAGTGGTACAATTAAAAGCAATAGGCAAGATACATAGGTTTCATAAGACTACATGCCAGATATAATATGTCCGTGGAAACATTATTATTACAAAAGCATTGACAATCCGCTTTATAGTTAGAAAGCCCTACGAGAGAGAGATCATCATGTTCTACTGATATTGGTGATAGTACATGTGATCGGCTATTACTCTCCTGTCTTCATTCTAACTAGCAATTCCTTGTGCCGACATATCCAGTGGTTGTGGTCCGGTCATTTGGTTGCCCTGGTCTAAATTATCTGCCAATGTTGCATCAGCTTCTTTTTCAACAAAATATGCATCATTGGGAACATGATCACGCATAAAGTTGTGCAAGGCACAACAAGCAAGGACAATGTTATTTTGCGTTGCCATCAAATAGTTCTGCATGGATCCCTTAAGTATCGGAAATCACTTTTTCAAGACACCAAACGTTCGTTCTATAATTTCCCTTAACATTGCATGGCGTCTGTTGAAAAGTACTTTTATTGCCCGCTCTTGTGGGGTTCCCCGTGCACCCCTAAAGGGAGCCATAAATCCTAGCAGATTTGTGTATGCCGCGTCCACCGCATAATACTTGCCTGGATATCATGTACAGATAATTAAGTTCATTATGGCAACTCAAATTTAAACAATAAGAAAACTCAATTAGGCAAGGCATTTTTTGATTTAATTTTCACGCACCTGCTGGTGGCATTGGAAAGGCACGATTATGATCAAGTAAAACATCTCGTAAGATCCTAGAATCATGGGCGCTACCCTCCCACCCTACCCTGACATAAGTGAATCTCATATTATGGTCACATACAGTTAGAATGTTTTGTGATAAGCCGCCATGCCTGTTTCGATAACGATCCCTGTTTCTACACCAAGTTGAAATGTGTGTTCCATCAATAGCTCAAACGCAATTCTAATCACATGGGCCAGTGTTACATACTTAACAGGTTTTCATAATGACTAAATAAACATTAAATTCCTAACCTTAAACTATGGCCGGAACAGCGCACTGCTTTGTATTTTTGGATGAATTGTGTGATAATCTATCTGCCTGACCAAGTCGCGTCCCAATCGAATGAGAGATCGAAGGCAGCGTTGTAGATGGCGGTCCACTGTCTCGGAAGAATATTAGAATCTCTCAGCTAGCACCCTATGTCGCTTAGTATGACTCAAGTACAGAAGGCAAATGGCGACAGACTTATGAATTCCCACCCGTTGTGTAGGGTGCGACTTCCAATAACCCTGCTCAAGCAACAAGTCACATAATTGCAGGAAAAAGGGAGCTTCCATGTGAAGGTTGTCGAATATTCTGTCTTGATGGCCGTTTATTAGCTCTAGAACCTATTGAGCATCCGATTGTGTACCATCTCGGATTCATCACCGCTGTAAAGAGTTTAGGTATGGGTCGAATAAGACCAATCCAAGAAGAACAAACATGGTGAAGGTCAAAAGAAGCTCCTCCTCATCCGATTCATCAGAAGTTTCCCCACCATGGGCATAATGATCACTTTCCATCAAGTGTTATTGGTGCAGCTTCATAAAAGATGAATCTGCAAGGTTTATGGCAGCAGTAATGATCAAAATCAAGATCAATAGGCTCCTAATTAATCATAAATGACTTAAAAAATGCTATATACCTGCAATAGTTAATAATTGAAATTATATGTTCTCACAAAGACAAGTCATTAATTGTCTTTTCAAGATACAATTACGAACAAGCCTGTCTTAACAAATAGTATCATAAAAGTGAAATGGAGTTAGAATGATGCTTTAATGTATTGGCCTACAATATCCTAAAATACTAGAGCAACTGCTAATTTGGCCACAAACATTATGAATAAAACTTGACAACTCATTGTTAACTTGTCCGAATTATAAGAATTAACGAATACTCAACAAAGTCATGGCCACAAAGCATCCTGAATTTGAATAAACAAATGACAAGCATAGTAAAAAAAGCACTCATAGTTCCGGTAGTAAATACTACAACTAACGGTCTCAAGTATAAACAAACAAAGGCAACAACTCAAGCTTCAAAGAAGTGCTCCGAATGCACAAACGACTATAACAGGAGTAGGGGAGGGGGCTCCTGAGTGCCATGGTCAGGCGGGAGACAGCCTTTTAACTTCATAAAGGTGATGCGGTCGGTGTCTGATCCAGCTAAATTTCAAATAGCCAGCTCTTGAGGGTCATTCAATGTTTCAGCAGCAGCCATTTTGGTTACGTAGGCCACGTTCTCTAATCCCCAAAGTTGTTCCATGGAAACATCATAATCCGATTTCTTCGATCTATCTCGGCCAGAACGATGCTTGGTCGGAGAGCTGACTGACACACTCATGCTACTGCACTTTTTTCGACTAACCAGCGACTCAATGGTGTCAAGAGCCCTGAGGTATCTATTAGTTACTGAACCAGAGGCAATGGACATAGGACTACCGCTGGAGCAATCACCTGACTTTCGCTTTCCTTTACTCTTCTTCCCTTTCTCATCTTTCGCCCCTGCTACCTCAACATCAGCATCCTCGTCCGCATAGTCCGACCTTTTCTTTTCCTGTGCACATCGTGCAGTAGTCTCCATGTCTTGCTCCTCGGCTGAAGTACGGGGGTCGTTCTCGAAGCCAGAGCTGAAGTCTCCCGTTGCGTCTTGATTGACAAATACCTCCTCAAGTAAATGATAGACTGAGTAGTCATTTTGAAATTTTACAAATTTTGGGTTCACCTGGTACAAATATGACAGCCCAAAAGGGAGTTAACGAAACCAGCACATATAAGGAGTAAAAACACAGCCATGGCAGATATAAAAACTCAATTATTGAATAGTTATACCTGCTCCATCTAGGCTCACTTGTTATCTCCCATAAGGAAGGTAAACTTCTGGCTATCCCAACCCAATCCCGTTCCCTGCCTCTTGAAGGCAATGTACAGTTTGGTTAGCTCTCGCAATGCATAGTATTTCGCTCTTATACTATCAAAAGTGAAAGAGGTGCCGTATTGGCCGTTCAACCACCGTTATATTTCAGAAACCACAAAACTAGAAATGTTATTGTCCCTAATTTCACTAGCTTTATGCATGTTCAGAAGGTGGTGGGCAAAAGTAATTTCGTGCTGCTTAGAGAAATGCAAACGCTGCGAATCTCCGCGCCTTTGTTTTCTCATCTTTAATTAACTCATAAACAAATCTAGAAACAAACAAAGAAATAAAGTAACAGGCATGATTATTCAAGATATAGAGAGGACATAATAATAACCAAATTGGACGAGGAGCAAGAATTACATTGTAGTAGTTAGAAATGCACTGCCTTAAATCGTTTTCCCCCCAAGCTGAGTTGGATGAACGAGTACTCTGGATGCAATTCTGCTTCAATGCTGGGTTGACATAGGAAAAAAATTAAAGTCTATTCGCAAGGCAGTGAACAAAGGGAAAACAAGTAAATATACCTTTGGCAGCACGGCGGGTAATAGGGGGCATGTAGCCTTAGACAGCGGCAACCATACAAGTCAGACTACCCTATTTTTTAGCACCGAACAGCAGTATGAATTTAGACAGCAGACATCAAGTGTTTTCGAGGTTTCGGGAAAAAATTACAAGCCTTAAATAGCATCAGGCAGTTCATTGCAGAAAAAACACAGTAGTAGCAAGAATAATATGGCAACATGAGTTTAGTTTTATATTAAACAAGGCAAGACACAGAGAGGATAGTGCACAATATGGAAAAGCACCAGGGAAAAACTGCTCTACACTAATTTTCATTTAGGTCAGCAATATAACAGGTAAAAACTTATTTCACCATAGACTGCTTTTTCTCGTATCAAATTTCACATAGGTGGCTTCACAGTAAGCACACTTGAAAGTGGACGGTGTTCAGGAAGTTAGTGTGCTAAGGAGAGGAGGATATGCATTAACAACTTCCTCTGGCCTTCCCAACTATATAAAAAACTTCCACTTTAATATTCTCAAAAGCTTCACTCTAAGTCATGGCAGCAACCTAGGCTACACTTGCAACTTTTCTCAGATAGAATTTAAGCTTTCCTAAAGTTGCCAACATGGTTTAGATGTGCACATATAATTTCACCAACAGCATCCTCGAAGAGGAAAATGGTAGACAAGCATTTAACTACTTCAAGTTAGACTACAAATCATTCTCCAAAAACCAAAAATTAACATACTAAAGTAAGAACTATTCATCCAAAACCTATTTTTCACATCTTTTCAACAGGTTTTCAAAACTGTCCAAATGCTCATAACTAAAATAAAACAATGAAGCAAGCAGCTCTTATATTTCTGGTGGCATTTGAAATCACTGGAATAACCAAAACCTCAAATTCACAATAGCATCTTACAAGCAACTTCACTGTCTTTTCAAGAGCCGAGGTCATGAATATATGGCTTCAATGCACAGCAACAGATTAATGCTTTCTACTAAACGCTATCCAATAATTAACATATCAAACTGTCCCACACTTCCATGAAATCTTTTCCTATATCTTCTTACCAAACAATTATTAAGTATATAATTATTTCAGCACTTAAAATAATTGTTTCCTTTTTACTTACATAACAAAAATAATGTGCCCATCTTATTTCCATAGTATAAATAAACACTTAAATGGTTACAATTAGTTTTTTCCCTTTTATCCAACCAAGTAAATCCAAGAAATCATCAGAGAAAAATAGTTCTGACATGCAGCCATAAAAACAATACAAAATATAAAGCCACCAATTTTCTATCAAAGCATTCTAAAATCCTCCGGAAACAGCAAAAATCTCCTCAAATGAAGTCCAACCCAAATGAAATCAAACCTTATCTAGAAACCAGATCCCAAGTGTATCACATATATTTGCCACTTGCCACATCAATTTGACATTTTTAACCAAAAAGACCACAAAACACAAAAAACCCACTCATTATTCTAGACAATAATCAGCTAAGAAGCATTTGAAAGCAAGGAAAAAAAATATCAAATTTCGATGCAGAGCGAAGAGGGACTCAGAGTTCCTTAATGCCAGACGAACTCTCACAACAAGTCTTTGCGCCGAATGTCTGAAAACGTGTGAGGAATGGCGGAAAAGCAAACTCAGTCGGAGAGCTTTCTTTAGAGCAATATTTCTAGAAGTAGAGATTTAGTTCAAGTTTGGATTGTAGTGGCGTTCACACTCAATTGCGAATGAGAAAGTGTTTTAGGGTTGAGTAGTCAAAGAATAGCTGAATACAACACAATTGGGGCTTTTCACAAAAACGACGTAGGTTTGTGTTAGTTTCACTATACACTTAATTGTTATTGGGTCATAACATTTGTGTCATTGAAAGACAAAAACAGTTTTTTGGAAATAATTACAAATCCAAACAGAGCCCCAAATATTTCAAATAAACTCGAGGCAAAACAATTTCTACACTTTTCCTTGGAAACAACAATTACAAAGCCTACCAGCATCCCTGATAGAGAAACAGGCAGGATCTCAAGAACAGAACATTAATTGAGATTTGATGGAAGGCCTATCCTTCAATTATTCAACATGAATCCTTCTCGATGATCTCAAAATTTTCATCCGGTAATACTAGTATGTACTATAGAACTCCTCATTCTCCAACTCTACCTTCAAGAAACGGCAAACAATTGATCCTCGTCAAGAATGGCCATGGCCTATTCTTCAAAGCTACAACTTCTACTCTTGATCTCCGTTTACTTGATTCCCATATCCCTTTCCCGTAATCCTATCCATCCATTGAGCACCCTCAAAATCGCAACCCCAGATGTCCATGACCTCCTCATAAGCTACAACCTCCTAAAGGGTCTCATACCAAAAGATGTCAAGTCCTATTCTCTTAATTCAGATGACAACACTTTCACCGTTGAACTCACTCACAGGTGTTATGTTCATTTGTCTGACTTGTTTTACCATGACACTATTTTGACTGGCAAATTGAGTAGTGGGAATATTTCAGATATCCCTAGAATTCAGGTGAGGAAGTTCTTCATATGGATGCATGTTGCTTGCATTTATGTCAATGAAAGATTGAAATGGCTTGAATTTCAAGTTGGGCTTTTGACCGAGATTCATGCTGTTTCTACGTTCCAAGAGATTCCATCTTGTTGGAATTTTGAGTTATAGCAATCTCTGCTTGCATCAAATTGAGGTAAAGTTTGCATCTTTATGCTTTTTCTTTCTTTTTTGTTTTTAGATTTTGTTATCTATGCGTTCTTTTGTCCTTTTTTGTCATGTAACAACCATAAAGGAACAACATTATTGTGTCTTTGCAACAAGCATAAAGGTACAAAATTGTGTCTATGTGAATATTCCTTTTCCTAGATAAGATGTTAAGAGTTTAAATTCTAAGTACTTCTGTTGAGACTTCTGTATCTCTAAATGAAATAGGTAAATTCTGTCCAATTTTATGAAAAATGTATGTCTTTTGTGGCCTATAAATTAGCAGTAACTTCTCTAAAACAAAAGCAAACATTTTCTGCCCGATGCTGAAAAAAAACACATACTAGTAGAAAACTGATTGTCTTCTCTAATGTACATCATTTATTGCATTCTGGCTTCAGATATGGTGCTTTCTGGGTTTGATGTGTTCACCTAGTTTTGTTCTCTATCTAATTAAGTTGATTTGATTTCCGTTTCTATCATATTTTAGCTTCCAACTGCATTGAAATTCAGCTGCTCATAACTAAAGATGGCTCGAACACCTTAACCTATGAGAGCAGTAGCTGGAGGTATTCTCCAGGGATGGTTTCTTTTCGTGGTTATAAGACTTCAAGATTTCCAGGACTTCTCTAGCTGGAAACTACCAGATGAAATATTAAGCATGTAATCCTACATAAATAAGAGACCATTTTCTAGTTCAACTTCCTGGTGTATTGTTCTTCAGCAATGTTTTAAAACTCGAACCGTTAATTGAACTGATGAGGTATTTGGATCAAAGTTCAATTGGTCGGACTGATTCGATTTTGGTTCAATGAAATTTTTTAAAAAATAATTTATATAAATATATATGCACAAAAAAAGACATACAATGGATTAATTTAAAAGTTTATATAATGAAAAGTTTAGTATTTTCAAAGAACTTGGATTTTCAAAATAAAAATTTTAAATTATAAGTTGAAATAAATAAATTCATCTCAATTTTAATTTATCTACCAAAAAAATAATCTTAAATTCAATCCAAAAAATCAAAATATTTTAAAATTATATAAAATTCACATATATGGGAATTAGATATTGTGAGTTTAAATTTTAATTCATGTTTTTGGGATTTAAAGATTGTAACTTTAAAAAAAAAAAAAGTTTGGAGTTTGGAGAAATTTAGAAGAATCGAAAATAGAGATGCAAACTTGATAAAAGGAAAAAATGAGATGAAGTGAGTGGTTGTGACATTTAATAATTAGCCTTTAGAGTTAAGAAAAATAATTATTTTTAATTCTTTTTCAATTTAATGGACAAAAATAAAATTAAAAGATAGAAGAAAACAAAAGATGGAAAAAAAAAAGATAGAAAAACATCAATAAATTAAAACTAAAGATGTTGGATTAAAAAGGGAGTGATAAAAAAAAGAGGAGAGAGAGAGAGAGTTGATTCAAAAAAAAATCATGAGAGGATGAGATTTTGTTCGTAAAGAGAAGGAAACAAAGATGGAAGTTTGTTTTATATAAATATGTTATCAAAAGAGATTAAGTGGATGTGCTGGCGCAATTTTCTAGTTCAACTTCTTGGTGTATTGCTCTTCAGGAAAAAAATAAGTCTCAATCATTCCAGGAAAACTGTATTCACCCAAGGCCGATTCCATTTTCCAAGTTAAACTTTAATTTTTTTTTTTAATTTTGGTGTCAAAACTTCAACTTTTCATTGCTACCATCAACTAAAAAAAGCTATAGCCTATACAATGTATTGAGCAAATGACCAAATGAAGCTATGCACCTTTGCTCAAGCTCGACGGGTACATTGTTGTTGAAGAGTAAAAAATCTAGGGAGCTTTTAAACTATTGCCGTTGTCAACTTTTGGCCACTCATCTTAAATTTGTTTCCGATTGGCCCTTAACAATTAAAAATGCATACTTTGAGGACTTCCGATGACTTTAAGCACAAATCTGACTGGATTTAAAGGCATTTTGTCCATTCATGTTTGAACTCTTGGGACCAGTAACTAAAACCCTAAGAAGAGATTAAAAGATGCAACTCTTCAATTTTTAAGCAAACCAAACTTGAATCTTGGAAATCCTCTCCAAAAATCAAGTTTTACCCATAACAAAAACCATTTCTGTTTGAAATTTCATCTAAAATATAAGAATGGCTAGATAATCTTTCAATTATAGCTATTGAAGATTGCATGGGAAAAATTCTACAGTGAAAGCTACGAATCGACTGAGAATTGATTGGTAATCAGAAGGAGGAATGCATATTTTAATCCATATCTCATATACGGTAATGTGCCACTTGATTTGTAAGCTTATATCGTTGTGGTTTGTGTGTGTAATTATTGTGTTATTATTGAAAGATTTAAGAGTTGTTAAAGAAATAGATGCTGGTTGATAGGGGTTTAGATATAGTGGAGCTTAGTTAAATTAAATTGATGGAAACAAGGTCTGAGATTTTTGTCCTGTTGGTAGGTTGCATGGCGTCCTACTATATCTATGGTTCATTTTTAGTGTACTGAAAATAGTAAATTAATGAAATTTCTGGTATAGAGTTTGACAAAATATAGTTGGTGTTGCATGGGCAGTTGTTTATTTAGCAATTTTGCTGCTTATTTTTACTACTCTATGAATATAGTGATTTTTTTAAAAATTTGATACATGATTGTGCAGAACATGGGAGTGAATATTTTACTATTAGATTGCACTATAAGGGCAGGTTTAATGGTTCAGATTATAGATTTTATACTAGTGGTGAAGTTGATCATGTAGATTTGTGTGATGGTGATAGAATGTCAGTACTTGAGATCAATGAAATGTTAAAAAAACTGGGGTATGGGAAAGAGGAAGCTGTGTTGTACTATTACCTTGAGCGACAAGTGTTCTATCTAATGGACTAAGGCAATTGCAAATTGATCAACATGTTAACCGATTCTGTTGTTGGATATAGAAATATAAGGTGATGGAAGTTTATTGTGACCATAGACCATTGAAAAGGTATTGAAATGCAACTCAATGAGCCTGTAGAGACATATGCAGCATCGCAAAAATCTGGTGTTTTGATAGAAGAAATAGATGATGAGGGCAAAGTTATAGAGAAGCCTTGTATTAATATGGTATTAACAAAAAAATTTGAATGCTGGAACTCAAAACTAGAAAAAGAGTGGTGCAAGTGTAAGTGAAAATTTAACAGAAAAATAGGTCCAGAAAGACATGCTTAAACAAAAGATTCCAACTTCACAGACTGAAATTGAAGGTGGCAAACAAAAGACAACAGCTAAAACAGTGGAGGGATAAGTACTAGTAGGTAGAGACAATGATGATACTGATGACATGAGCAACAACTCAGATGATGAGTAGTTCAATGCTGATGATAATTTCTGGAAAGATAACTTGACGTTTGAGGATGCAGCAGTATAGATGAAACAGAAAATGGCCACCAATCTATGGAAGCTAGCAGCAGGAGCCTGAAGTGGAAAATGCGACTGGAACTTCTAACATTCCTACTCAACAATCATAAAAGAAAGATAGAAAAAATGGAGCAAGACAGCCTGCAACTTTTGGTTCAAAACTATAGATGTTGGAGTTGCATTTGCTGGGGACAAACTAGATGATCAACTAGATAGTGACGAAGAGTCATCCGAAAAAAAGAAGGACATATCCCCAAATTCATTGACTTTATCCGAGAGGGACATGAAGAATCCAAATTCTTTAAAGGGCAAAGATTTGTTGATAGCAGGAGTTCAAAGAAGCTCTTAAAAACTATGCAATTGTTAATGGTAAACCTGTGAAGACTTGCAAAAATGAGAGAAAAAGAGTTAGAGCAAACTGTAAAACCCTGTAGGTGGTTTGTTTTTGCCTCAACAGTAAACTGTCTAGGCAAAACGACTTAATGGTGAAGTCAATCTATGATAAGCATAAAAATTGTGGACATGCTTGAAAGAATAGAACTATTACCTCAAAGTGGTTGGCAATATATATGAAAAGAGGTACAGATCTAACCACAACTGCCTGTGAAAGAGCTAATACAAACGGT